AAACCCAATTGTGGGCTCATTAGGCGTGGAATTACACAAGCCGCGGGCGAATGCCGGTGGAAGACACGCACATCGCTCATGCGTGTAATTGGGATGACGGCCTTAGACCTGATATTTCCTTGGTTGCCATAAATAGAGCATTAATTGCCGCTCCGCACACTCGAATGCAGCGACAACATCTATGCACCGCCGGGGCGTATGCTTAATATGCCGAGACCACAACTTTGCGGCCGTGGAGGTCTTCATCGAGTGGTTCGCAGTGGCCCAAAGTGGCCATGCAGCCTCATTACAAGAGTTTTACATTTTCGTATGCTACTTAGACGCCCTGCCTCCCTGAAAGCCACTTTTCCCGCTCCTGGTCCTGCCCAACTCCCGCTCCTGCTCCTTCCACAGGTTCCTGCGGAGTACACTTTCTGGCGCTCGCACACTTTGTGGCTTTCATGAATTTTTCCATTCTTCGGGCAAAGTGCAATAAATCATAATTTGCTACTTTTTCTAATGGATTATGGGCAGTGGCAGCAGTGGCAGCAGTGGCAACAGCAGCAGCATATTGTTAGCATCCGCCGGGAAAGCTCTTAAGTGCTGATTGACCAGCTCATGAATGCTATGGCGAGGTCGGGAGGAGCCCAAAGGGTCAGTAAATTAATCATGCCGGATGAGCTGAGTGCTATCTCTGACGTGCACCGCTTTCAGAAAAACATTCTCAATAATTACTTTAAAGTCGCTGCACAAGACTGAATAACAAATTTACAATTATTAATTGTATTTTCCATTATTATTATTCTTTTTTTAATTATTGTCCCTGGTTTTTGTGCTCTATCGATGGCAATGGCAATTCAATTTGTATTTTGTGAAAGTGATTGCATAAGGTCTGATAAAGAAATAGCAAAAACCGCCCGGGAAGGGGCATTGTTATTGTTATTATTAATGTATTATTGCGGGCAATGGACAAATGTCACAATGGAAAAAATATGCAGTGCTTTTTCCCTAATGCGGTCCAGCATAAATTGTGGCATTCAGCAGCGATTGTGCGATGTGCTGTCGATGGCGACTCTGTTGACGCGATGAAATGCGGTTTACGGCGATAAGTTTGCGACGAGTGCCAGTTGGCCAGATGAATAAGCCGCTTAATTAGACATAATAACTCGGTTAACACAAATGCTGGGCCCCCGCAGCGCAGCATGTTGTTTCTCTGACAAGCAGATCCATCTGGTGGGACGTTGGACGTCTGACATGAGCCAGGGTCAAGTCCCATAATTTGGGGCATAAAGAATTTATGTAGCTGGAGAACTCATGTTTCCTGGCCGAAAGGGAAACGAAGGACCTAACCGAGCATAAATTCCCCAGTGACCTATTACCCCTTGGCAAACTATGACAGCCGACTGCCAAATGTGTCAAAAGTTCAAAGTCATCCGGCCCATCTAGGCCCGAAAAAGGGTTGAGCTGTCCGACAACGGAGACGTAGACGTAGACGGAGCCGGAACCGGAGCCTGGCATAATATTAACACAGATGCGCATGAATTATTCGAGAATCTGACTCTGACTCTGACTCCCAGTTGTACTGGTAAGCAAATAACATTATTATTGGGCAGCAGACAAAGGCGGTCAGGAGTGCATTCGTGTCTGGGCTCCGATTCCACTTCCCATTCTGAGCAGACTCTGCACGCGATAGGTAGTATATATGGTATATGGTAAAGTAAGTATATAACTTACAAGTTCCGCAGCGCGAACGCGAAAAATGTTTATTAATAAATTTCCACCGAACAAAGTAAAGTATTTCACTCCCATGATTTCTCAACTTTAGCTGGCTCACTCAAAGTTCCCATGACATGTGCCACAAGGCGGCTGGGCCGGAGCGAGTATGTGTTAGAGCCACAAGTCAACTCCAGGCAGTGACGCTGATGCACACCACCAGCAGCTCCACCCCCAGGTGCACACCCGAACCCAACTAGCGTCAAAAACTTTCAAATGCTTTCAAATTAACCTGTGCGTGGTGCCTTGCAACAGGCAGCGGGAAACCGACTTTCATTGGTGGCCCTGTCCCTGTTCCTGAGCTGAGCAAGGAAATTGTTCTGTAATAAGCCAAAGAGCTCCTGGGCATGCCATTGCGATGCAACGGCAGGAGAGCATGTGAAAAGTTTTGGGGTAAAATTTATCTTCAATTCGCCTGGGAAACCATACTCCCATTAATCAGCATAGCTAGAAAGATTTATGTTTAATTTGCACTCCCATTTGATTAATGCTTTCAACTTTACATCAAATTGAAGAATCATAATCATTGAGCGATAGTAAATGACACTTGGATATATATTTTCTTGCAGTTATTCCCTTGAAATTCAATCTTTGTTATCTACTTTCAACAGAATCTAAACAGGATTGTGGTGCTAAATAGGTCTTAGTATTTATATGTTACATTATTTTGGTGAAAGTAATACTAATATTTGGTTCTAGCGCCAAAGGAAACAGTTACTGGCTGGCTTCTTGGTGAAACTCAATCTCATTGTCGAGCCAATTCTGAATCATGCCCCAGACTGAGAGCCCGCACTCCAGCTCCGTCTGAGAAAAGTGTCTGCCAAGGCAAATGGGGCAACTTTTGCTGCTCAACTTCGATGGTAGGAACTATTTTCTTTTTCTTAATTAAAAGCAATCTTATTTATTAGTGCAGCACACACACAAAAACACAGCCGGAGATGAAGATAAAGACACTGGCTGCAGATACAGCCACGGATACAGATGCAGAGACTAAGCCAAGCCCATTTAGATGGCTGTGCTGGCTCTATAATTGGCGAAAATTATTTAATTATTATTAAGTGCAGCATCCTCCGAGCAGAACCAGGACAACCCAGTCCGCTTCTCGGAGAACTTTGGCTGGTTCGGGGCTTAGAGTCGGTTGCGGGACGGAACGGAATAGAGTGAACGGTTTGTCTTTGCTCCACAGTTTTGTTTTTACTGCATCCATTTGTTTATCGTTTCTTGTGCAAACTTCTGCCGAGCCAACTCCAGCTATTAATTTCAGTTGCGATTTCTTCGGGCCGCACACTGCCTTCCTGCAGTGCCACTGCCATAATTAGACAGAAATCTAATTTGGTAATCGCACATATGCAAAGCCAGGCTCGCATCGAACAATGATGATGAGCAGCCGCCTCAATTGGGCGCGCGGTTTTTGGGAACACTCGCTCCTCCGCCGAGCAGCATGTAATTAGTTGCGGCGCGCATTGTTGTTGACAGATGATGCCGCTGCCCCAGCTGCTGCATCGCTCCGTTTGTTAACTTGATTAATTAAAATGCAGCCGCTCTTAATGGCGATGGCGTGCTCATTTGCCATAAGTTTGTTATGTGCGAGTTTATCAGCTGCTTATGCAACGCCACCGGTCCTGGCCCGACTCTCCTGCGGGCTCCAATCTCTGGTATCGGAGACTTCTCGTGTGAGATTGATCTGGTTCTGGAGCTGGTCTAATTGGGCCAGGCCCACAAGGCCCCACAAGGAAGTGGGCTGGAAAGCAGCAGGCAGCGGACGCATCTATAATTTCAGATTCGTTTATGCCAGTCACAGCAGGAGAAACAGCTGAGGTACTGGCCGTTGCTGCAACGCAATCTCTTAGCTGCCAAGCTGCAGACCAAGAAGTCGGAGCCGGAGAAAAAGTCAAAACCAAAGCAAAGACTGAGACGGAGGCCGAGACTGAGGCTGAGCCATGGAGTCACGCTGCTTTATTTATTTAACCGCAACAGTAACAGAAACCGCAATAAGAACAACGGCAACTGTAGATGCAACTGCAGTAACTGCACTAATCTCAGCCAGCCAGTGGCTCCAGCGAAGGGGCCTGAAGAGCTCCGTTCGGGGATCGGGGCTCGGGGTTCGGGTCAGAATACTGTGTAGAAAGTAACTCAAACTGTTCTGCGCTTTGCTCGGTGGTGGTGGCTGTCAGCTTAAGTCTTTACTAACCAGGCTTGGGCCCACTGGACAGCTGCTGGAGCTTGCAGGTGGGGGACTGGGAATTGGGCCTGTGGATTGGAGATGGGACTGGCATTGGGAGTAGGAGTGGAATCGGGGCTGGGGATGGCCTGCCTGCTAATGCTTGCATAAATATTATACAGATTGCCGCATTGTTCGCCCTACTCTGCTAGACTCTCAACTGTTGCTGATGTTGCTGCTGCATGTGGCAACCATAATGCAATCTCGGGCTGCAGTCAAGTTAGTTTATGTTTGTTTTGGTTCGGGCTCGGGCTTAGGATTGGGTTTGGTTTGGCTTGGTTTGGGTCTGGGCTTGGCATGCCGACTTTTTAGTAGTTCATTAAAATCACATCCCCCTCCATAAGGCCGGATTCTGGGTTCCCAGGAAAGTGTTCTCGGCCTCGGCCTCAGTCACGGCCTCGGCTCTCGGTGCATTGCCTCGTGTTAACCTGACCAAATGTGGCCGAGGCATTCAACTTGTTTCCAGTTACACGTGTGTGGCTACCACTCCCGCTCCCCCTATCGTAATCTGTGTTTGTGTGGTACTTGTTTTTGCGGCACTTGTTGTTGTTACCGCTGCTGCCGTTGACTTTTTATGCGCCCGTTCTTGTTGCTCTCTCTGCCTCACCTTACTGTCCAGCCCCTCCTTTTCCTTAATTAAAGACAAGTTTTCATTTCATTCCATTCTCTGCTGACTCTCCCCGCAACGGGGATACATCCCACCAGATCGGATCCGATCATCTCGGCCAATTACGCTGGCCAATAGCTAAAATATGAGTATGCGGAATAACCCCGCATACGCAGGACACTCTGGCTGGCATAAACAATTTAAAGCTTGTAAATATTTTCATGGTAATCCGCTTTGTCGGCACTTGCCAGCCGATGTGGATGCGGATTGCGGATGCGGATGCAAGAGGCAGCACCCACCACTCCGTGGCTGCGCATCCTGACCAACCCAAACCACCCACAGGGCTGTCTGCTATCTGCTGTCGCTTTAGTTGTTTCAACAGTTTAAGCAAAGTTAATCCCGGCTGAATGCAAGGCTTACCTGTTGACGCCACTGCTACGTGTTAGAGGGATGCGCGCGGAACCAGAAAACCAACAAATCCATAAACAATACGACAAGGACACCAGTCACTACCACCAGAAGGAATTTCTCGCGCACTGCATGTGAATATGAATGTGACCACGGGTGCCAGTGCGAGTGCGAGTTCGAGTCCGATTCTGATTCTGATTCGGGTGCTGGATGTGAACCGTGCAAAACAACGAGTCCGTGGGCTTCCCGTTCAGGTGAATTCAATTCGACCGCGATGCGTACTCGTAACTTTGTTTAATGCTTTCAATAACTGGCGATTTAATTAAAATCGTGCAACATTCGAATCACGGCTTATTGCACGCACAACTTTACTCTGAATATGCGGACGGGTTCGTGGGATTCGCTCGGATTATATCCTTTAGTTTGTTGTGTTTGTTTCGGTTTGTGGTGGCTGTTGGGGGACGAGTTCACTTGTTCTCCGTTGAAACGCACCAGACGCCATAAGCGTTCGCAGCGAACTGATCGTCGGACTAGCGCTTCCAAAAGACTTTTAAACGTGTTACCAAGAAAGTCCAAGAAGTTGGCCCCGAAAGTAAAGTAGACGGCTCGAACCGAAGAGTCACCACTCACACACGAGCAGAGCCCGCTACCAAAATGGTCAAGATGACAAGGCGGAGCGGGAGAGAGCGCCAGGTTGGCCAAGAGAGGGAGAGAGAGAGCTGGCGCGATCGTAAGAGAGTTCGCCGGCTGCGCATGCGCCCGAGCTGCCCGCTCTTAGCCAAGAGCACCGACGAAGCCACTGACACTGGGCCACGAACTGCGGCAGCTGCGGCAGATGAGTGCTGCACTCGGAGTCCCAGTGCCAGTCCCAGGCGCAGTCGAACCCAGGCGATCCAACCCATACGGCCCATACAGATCCAAGCGAGCTGGATGTGAGTTCATGTGTCAAGCACTGGCTGACGCTGGTGCCACAGAATCCGCGGATCCAACGCAAATTAATTAGGATTACAAAAGCCAGAAGGCTTGTGCAACTCCTGGCAGGCAAATGGCGCCGACCTCTGACATCCAGCCAAATCATCTTAAATATCAACAGCATTATCGGCATTGGGCAACACAGTGTCCACTGCCCGCAGAGCCAACCAATCGGGGAACGAAAACTCGCTCGTCGACAGCGGCATAATTGGGCCCGGGAGAAATCTAGAATCTAGCAATTGGCGTCTGTGGAGCACTTTCTTTGCCGTTTTCAATTTAATGCATAGTTACAGGAAGAACGGCAATGCAAGCCAGTGCTTAAATACACTGGCTCCTAGAGACTTACAGATGCATTCCATTGCACCGCAATTGTGCCGTGCTCATCCTAGTGGCTGCCGTCGTTGCTGTTGCTGTTGCTCTATTTGCACTGCGACGACAATCAAGCCCATGTGTCAGAGAGTCCGGCACGGCTCCTATGGATTCAGATACAAAGACACTGGACGAAACAAAGTGTTGAAATCTGGTAAGAGCTAGGGTTCAAGCCACACATCAATATTTGTCAATTACCCCTAAGAACATACAGTTGCCACTAAGGTTAATCGGAAAGTATCTATCGATTAACATAAATATTTGATCCTACTTTCTAGCATTGAACTTTACTGAGTTAAAGTAGAAGTATATACCTTATTTCTCTGACTGTAGCTCCTGATACATGGAGCCGCCACAGAACTATATCTGCAGATGTGTAGATGGGAAAACGAATGGATGGCTTTGCTAAATTACTAGCAACTTAAGCGCATCTGCGGTAAATTCAATTAAACAATTTACCATTTCTGTTGATTTTGTTTTCTCAGTGAAAATAAGCTACATTTAGCAGGTTGCTGCTGGTGCTTGTGTTGCCGCTCCTGCCTCCTCTGCTGCTTGCTGCTCGTGCTTTTGCTGTTGCTGTTGCTGTTGCTGCTCGGATATGCAACATTTGGTCAAATTAAGTGTGGGTTTGAGTGTGAGTGGCTGTGTGGATCCAACAAATTCGGAAGCGTCGAAGTTGCTGCTTGGGCTTCAGCTTCTGTTGCTTTGGCATTTACCGAAAGCATCAAGTGTTATGCAAATATTTGTGTATCAACGTTTTTATTTGACCATCTTGCTACCCCTGTACACCTCCCTCGATCCCTACATCCATCCATCGCTCCCCGGGAACATTTGATTCATCGCTTTGCCTTCAGTCTTAGTTGGCAGTGAAATTTCTACATCATTTCGTATAGAAATTTCTCAATTATCTGCAGCTCTGGCACGAACACTTTCATATGCTTTCAATTTCCTCGCTCTGGCCATTCAGCAGTTAATTAAACGATGTTAGCCAGCAGAAATCGTGGCCAACTCTCGAGCTCAACTAATGTAAATCTAATGCAAAATTGCATTCGCCCGTTTACTAATTATGCCGGTGACGGACAGAAAAAACATAGAAGCAGAAACGAGTTGTCTATCGCAGGCGTCGCCCCTACAATTTAGATTGTACAATTTGGGTGTCTACCCAACGTCCTTGTGACCCACAGACGACCAGACCTGCCGCAGTTGCGACACTCGATGTTGTGCAGCGATTTCCGCTGGCAGTGCCTCTTGTCAGCAACTCAGCAGCCGAACCAAAGACCAAAATATTAATGGTATTTGCATTAGATGCGTTGAAGCCTAAATGCTCTTTAGACTTGGAACTCGGCATGCGTTAAGTTATTGTTTGGAGTAACAACAATTTTTTAATAACTGAAATTTATTGAAAACCCTATGAAAAATATATGAGATTTTCAAGAACATATATATTCCCTTCAACTCGAATAGCCAAGTTCATTCACTTTGACCATCCGACACTTCATCTATACCCAGCAATCGGCAAGCATTCACTTAGGGCATTCTATGGGAAAAACTATGCCATTTGGCAATACTCAATTAATTTATCATTTATCAAGTGGTCACTGCAACAACACCAACGCCAAGAGTGCCAACCAAACCGGCGGCACTCGCATTCAAATGTCGCGCTGTTCGAGTGTCGGCAATCGTTGGCCATCGATGACAGCAGTGCCACCAACCTGACCTACTGCCTGCTGTTGTTGCTGTTGCCGCGCGACTCGTGCAACATGCAGCCTCTCCCGTCCATAGAGGCTTCAGCACCATTACGCCCAGTCCGCCGTTCCCTGACATCCCGGGTACACTAAAAGAAATGGGGAGCTAACTTAATACAACCTTGAACAAATGTTTAAATTTATTCAGACCTGTTCTAGTTGTCTATTTAAAGATTGAAATCATATTGTCTAATATTGCTTTAATTTATTATGTATCGGGTATGCTTAATAATACATAAACGTTGCAAGGAACACGTTGAGTTAACCCGATGCATCGAAGATCGACTTCTCTGCATGTTACACTAGTTTTAGATGGACATCACCTAATAATACCCATTGTAGCTTAGAGTTGGGCGGTATAAAAGGTCTATTTTCATGATCAATTTGTGAATTATATTTTGTACATTTTCTTGTTTCTTTCAAAAATATGTTTTCTTCAGTGTGAGCGAATGGGAATGGCCCCTTCGGCGCTTGTGATGAGCTCCTGAATTTTGACATTTTCAATTGTCGGTCGGTGTTTGCAGCCATTTGTTGGTCCACTGTCGCTGCCGCTGCTGTTGTAGCTGTTGATTTTCAGTTAATTTTTCATTTTGACATTTCCATTTGTCAATAATAACATGTTGACTAGACCGCTGTCCTCGGACCGTTGCTGCGCTGGGATGGATTGATAATTGGATTTTCGGCCAAAAAAGCGAGAACTGGAATCGCTGTTCATTTAAAATGTATTATTGATTTGGTTTGATTTTGTTTGGTTAAAAGGGCCGTTGCACTCGAATGGAGCTAGTTGGGATTGGTATATAATGACGGATCAATCACGCCTCTCGGCTCGTCCCGTTAGAACCCTAGCGCACAATGCCTCCATACTGACACAGCACCGGGCTTTATGAACGAACCTGTTTAGGCCAGAAGAACGACCCAAGACTCAACCAGACCGGGGGCTTTCACACAAACGCCGCTTAAATGGCTCCGGCCAACTCCATCTGCGTTCAATTGATTTAATTTCCTGCAAGAATACGCGTTGAAGTTGAAGTGAAATGCACTTGCATTGACGGGCCCGCACTTGAATGTCCCGATCCCCATGGCGACACACAAGCCGCGGCGCAATCCGTTTCAGCTGCAGACAATCGGAGATTCTCGATTCTCGAGATGCTGACAGCTATACTTTGGTAGACGGGCCGAGTGGAGTGAAGTGGCCGATAATCGGGCTAACAATCTGAGCCCCGGGGAAACCGTTATTGCTGCCTATCTGCCGAAAGCCACAAATAGTAGATGATGACGATAATGTTAATAAAGCTGCTGCACATGCGCTCATATTTGTTACTGTTCGGTTGCACCTTGTCACTGTCGAGAAATTAAACTACAATTGTTATTGATTGCATATATGAATCTGACTTAATTATCCGAAAGTAAACATTCCGTGTCAAAGAGATAAATAATATTTATACCGCGGTCACTTAGGCAGAACAGGTAGTAAATGTAACTGAGCCTACAGTTGTATAACAGTACGAATGTCTTGGGTTAGCGGTTAAATAATGAGTCTTGTGCGGACCTTTTCTAAATATTTAGATAAATTGGAATGATTGACCTGAGATGTGAGAAATAAGGGTTTTCAGACAAGATATTACATCATTAATATTATCATTAACCAATATGATTACTTATTGGCAGTGCACATCATCAGCAAATCTAATTGGGTCAGTTTGACTACTATACATTAGGTAAAAAAGTACAACAAATAAATGATAATGAAAAGGTAACAAAAAATAAAAAAATATTGTTGAAAATCTTAGAAATCACCTAAAACTGTGGATCTCGAAGCCATTAACATACTAAAGGTCAGCGTCTAACCTCACTGGCAAAGTGTCACCTATTTATCCCGAAGATTCTCATCAGATAGACTGAATTTAAATCAATTGCTTTCCAATCTGAAGAAATGAAGCTGTTCTTTTTCCGAAACGAAATAGACTTTCAAGGAAGCTTGTCAATGCTGTATCATTTCACGATACCAAGTTTTCATAACCGAGACTTTATCTGACAGTAAAAATTTGGCAGGGAGGGAAGGATCCGGGACTGAGTAGTGCTTAGTTTTCTCAATAAAGCGGGGACCTTCTCAAATCTTGTTTTTTCATATTTTTATGTTCTATTTAACACACCATATTTTGGTACCGAGTACCAAGCTTACTTGTTAATATTAAAATCCAAATTCGAGATCATACTTTAGATTTTTAAGTAGTTCAGTTTTAAGTTTTCAGCGCCATCCGTGGTTTGCTTAATGCAGCAGAACAGAATACTCAAAGAGCCAGGAACCTGCTCGTTACAGCCAGTTTGGGGAACTGAAGCCTGCAAAGGAGTGCAATTGGTGCATTACTATGGAAGGTATATCATTGGAAGCATAAGCTAACCCATGCTTTGCTGGAATATTTGCCAAATTAGA